ATGGTTGGGCAAGGCTTTAAGAATTAAGAGTGGAGATTCATGAATCCGGTTGCTGCAGCCTTATCTTATCCCTAAATTCTTGGGCTGTTGGCACTTGATTGGATAAGATCTTAATCTTCTTGATTTTCTTGTGCCAATATATTTGTTGACCGAACAAGAGTTTGTTGTCCTTATTCTTTGGAATTTTGGGATAAGACTCAATCTTTGAAATCGTCCTTGATCCTTGGGATTTTCGGATTTGTTGGCACTTAATTGGATAAGATCTTTATCTTCTTGGATTTCTTGTGCCAATGTTGTTGACCGAATCAAGGTTGTTGTCCTTGTTCTTTGGGAATTGGATAAGATTCAATCTTTGAATTTGTCTTTGACCCTTGTGATTTCTGAACTAAATCTCCAGAAACTTCCCTTGCTTGCTGGTATATTGTTGAAGAATAACTAACTTTTGAAATTCAAAAGTTTGGTTGTCCCTTTGTCCACGATGTCATGCTGTAGCGCTTGCTATGTCATTACTTCGTCAGCTTTTCTGCTACAGCATTTCTACGTCAATTTTTCCTGCAAAGACAAACACTCAACAAGTCATCTTTTCTTACACAAAATCAAGGAATATTATCTCATTCTTCATACTTAGTCATCTCAAAGCACTTAATCATGAATATGCAATATTTAGCTCAATTATCATGCAATTAAGGCACTTTATATGGAATTTATGCAACAAATTCATCATAAAAGTAATAAATTAACTCTCATTTGGGAGAGTTATCATTTTACGTAAAGATTGATGTAGGACTTTGTTAATTTTGGTGGAGATTTGAGTGTATCTGGAGGGAATGAAAATTTGAAGCAAAACTTGCCCAAACACCCATGGAGGCCGTGGGTAAGAAACTTAGAGAATAAGAAACAAAAGTGATTCTAAAGTTGAGCGTAAAGACAAATTACTGCATTGTTATTGTATATGCTTTGGAATGTTTTCCCTTGTTGGCTTTCATCATTTTCTAGATTCTTATTCTTTACTTTTTTTCATTATTGAACTATTACTCCCTATTCATGCTACCTTGATATCTTTGCTTCATTATTTTGAGTGTTTACTCTTTATCTTTTCATTGATGCCAAAAGGAAGAAAATGGATGTAATATTTTGTGATAATAATTTAGTTGTAGCTTAACAAAGTCAGGAAAAATAGTGTTCATGCAATCATCATTAAGCATTATGTTATATCTGTGATGAATTAGTTTTTCTTGGTACATGGCATAAATTGTTTGTCATCATCAAAAAGGGAGAAATTGTTTGATATTTATTATACCCAATTGTTTAATTGTTTTAAAATATGTTTTGATGATTACAATCAATTTAATGTTAATTCATTTTATAATAATTTATTGGGTTGAAATTACTAATGAGTTGATTGTTTGAGATTTCAGAATAATATTTATTCTAATTTGAAATAGTATTCAAGATAATTGAAGATTGTATAAAGATTAGAGAATATGTGGAAGATATCGTGAAGAGAGAGAAAAACATGGAATCAAGTAAATTTTAGGATCGATTTTCTCTTTTTAGATTTCATGTAAGAGAAATAAAATATTATTTGCCAAAAATTTAGATTAGAATTGCATTACATAATAGATTAAGATATTTTAGGTTTACATATTTTTTATTTGAAAAAAATAAAAAAATTTATTTTTGAAAATTGCATTTAAAATTTCATTTAAGGGTAAAAGATTTCTGGTTAGATTTTGGAAAAGATTTCAAATTTAAATATTATACTTTTTGAGCTTTTAGGATAGAGAAAATATTATTATTATAAATAGAGCTCATTGCATATTATTCATGAAAGGAGAAAACACAATATTGAAAATACAATATTCATGAGAAGAGAAAATACAATATTCATAAGACAAAAATATACAAGAGAGAAGAGAGAGAATTAAATTTTCAATATTAGGATTCTTTCTTGTGCATCAATTGAAGAGTTTTCTCAACAACAATCATTCATACATTCATAGCATGGCAAAGTGAATATTTCTCCATAGGATTCAGATTACTTATATACTTGAAGAAAAGAAGCACTGATGTAAATCACTTTAATTGTATTTTTCTTCTTGACCTTTTTGAAGGTTTTTACTGCGAAACTTGGAAACCAGTTATTGTGCTGGAAAACTGGGATACCAACATATCTATTTTTCTTGGAAATTGAGAGTGACTTGAGAACTCTTGTGTGTGATAGGGTTTTGGAATCCTAAAGGGTTAGGATTTCGTACTGGAAAACTAGGACACTAGGTGAGAATTTGTGTAAGGGGTAGATTAGAAAACTAGGATACTAGATAGCTCCTTGTACTCAAGTTTCATAGCGGAGTTACCCGTCGAATTTTGGTATTCGATATTAAGGCACATGGTTTTTTTTTCCTTTTGGATTTTTTCACGTAAAAACTATTGTGATAATATTTCTCTATCCTTATCCTGATTTATTGCTTTGAGTTAATTTTTAATTAGTAAAATATTTTTATAAAACTCAATTCACCCCCTCTTGAGTTTATCCGGACCAACATGTTTGAAATCAACTAAGGCCATGAAGATTGAGAAAGATTAATCATAATTGCTTATGTTAGGATTATCGACCGCTTATCTTTTTTCGTTTCCCTTTGATTTAAATTCGATTTACTTTTTCACTTTCGTTGTTATCAGATGTTGTGATCGTATGCTTCTTGTCATCAATTCACTTAACCTTTATTATTACGAATTCCCATTTCAATAATTTGTCAATTTGTTTGCTTTATCTACCTACAATACACAGACACGTCTTTTTTTTTTTTTTTTAAATTTACGTGTTGGACACGTGTCGGACGCTGACACGCTCTGACACACGTCCGACATGCGGTCAATATTTTGGGACACACGGTCAACTTTTCAACACGCTCCGACACATGTTTTCGACACACGGTCAACTTTTTCCGACACGAAGTCAACGCTTCGACACACATTCGACACTTTTTTTTTAAGGTCTATATTTTATTTTATTAACTAAAAACAAAAAATTAATTTATACGTCAATTTTTTTTCTGATAAGGAATTTGACATAAAAAATTAACAAGGTATAAAAAATTACTTTTGCTATTTATGTTATGAAATTTGAATATTTGATTGGTTATATGACTTATTATAGACTGTTTTATGTATTAAATATAAATTATATTATATATCTTCAAAAAATTATTTAATATCAAAACGTGTCTAAACGTGTCAAAATATGATATTTTTTAGAATTAACATGTCGGCGTGTCGTATCGTGTCGTGTCCCGTGTCGGTGTCGGTGCATCATAGTTATCTACTTTGTGTATAAATTTTATCTCACTTCGTGTATAAAAATATCTCAAATATAAGTTTATTTTAAATAAAATTATTAAAATATATTAATTTATAAATTTAAATTCTAAATAAATTATAAATTATTATATATATAATACGTAAACATAGATTTTATGAGTAAAGGATTTCTCCAGTCAATGGAGATAAGTTATCTTCGATGAGCCAAAAACGACGTTGTTTTGGGACAAAAATCAAGGTGTTTTTGTAATTGTAATATATTGCAGGGTTATATTAGTCTTTATCATTATACTTTTTTAATCTTATAACTCTAAAACGACGTCGTTTTGAGCTCACTGCAGATAACTTTATCTTCAGTGACAGGAGAAATACTTTTCCTAAATTTTATTCCTATTATAATATTTATTTTTATAAATTTACGTTTTATAGATAAAAATTGAACCAAATTTTTATAAGGGTTTGCTTTTTCTGCAGTTACTACAGATAAGTTATCTGCAGTAAGCCCAATACGACGTCGTTTTGGGGCGAAAATCGTGGTAATTTTGTAATTTTAATTTATTTCAGGGTTATTGTAGTTTTTATAATTAAATTTTTTAATTTTTTAATCCTAAAACAACGTCGTTTTGAGAATAAATGTATATAATTTATTTGCAGACTGCAGAAATATTTTTCTGTTTATATAAACATGAATTAGTTTGTCCATGGTGCTGGTGTTATCTCAATAGGTCTATAAAGCTTTTTTTAAATATCAAAAATATTTAATTAAATTTAAATATTACAAAATGAAAATTATAAATACCATTTGCTTTATGCCTACAATTGCTTTCTGTTTTCAAAACAATATTCAACTTCATATCCTGTAATCAATATATATATATATATATATATATATATATATATATATATATATAAGATAAGATATTGTTACTATCAATTAGTGTTATCATTACCAGTTTCTTTTACCACTAGATTGATTATGTTGATTTGACGATTTATTTTCATCTTTGTATGGTTATGATTTCTCATATTTAACGTGAAAGCATTAAATATGTGGAATCATAATCATATAAAAGAGAAAATAAATTTAAAATATAAAATATAGGAAAAAAATAAGGTTTTTAGAAAGTTAAATTAGTAACACTAATTCATAATAACAATATCCTATTTCTACATATAAATAAAGGCTTCAATGTTTCTATTGTAAATATAGATAAGTTATTTATATTTACTCTCAAAACGATGTCGTTTTGAGTTGAAAGAATAACAAATTGTAATAAGAAAGACTATTATAATCCAGAAATAGATTATAATTATAAAAATATTTTTATTTTTGTTCCAAAATAATATCATTTTTGATTCAATATAAATGAATTATCTACATTAATTGTAGAAAAATGACCCCATAAGTAAATAAAGAACTTTGTTTACCGTAGTCATAATTATATATGAGGCCACTCATTTATAAAAAAAAATATATATATATATCCACTAGGGCTAGCCTAGTGGTGTGGGTGTGTCATGTGTGTAATAGGGTGTGTGGTTGTGTGTTCTATTCTCTGTAACTTAAAAAATAAAATAAAAAATAAAAAATGAATTACGTAAAATCAATAGGTGTGTTGAAAAGAAAACTCTTGAATTACGTAAATACAAGTTAGCTTCTTAGAATACATAATCCCAGCGAAGACGTCAGTTGTTGGATTAAGGTTTATTCGTATTTGTGGTCGGTCACAATCACGCTCATATTCCACAAAATTCTTCCCAAGTTCTTCAGATACGAAGACGAAGCTCGGTTAAAATGGGTGGTAATTAAAAATTGTTCTTGGTTTTAGAAGTTATAGCTTTGTTCTGTTTTGTTTTTACCCCGGTTTTCTTACGTTTTGAGTGTTTGCAGGGACCCAAACGGAGAGAGAAGAGAAAGTGTCTTTGGAGCTGAGTGAAGAAATTCTTCAGAGTATGGAAGTAGGAATGGCCTTCAAAGACTATGTGAGCATTTATACCGTTAGGGCACAGGCGAACAGTTCCAATTTTTTGGGGACAACACTCGATTCTCTAACAATAAATTTTGTTCTTCGTCCAAGGAAAACAATTTAGCATAAGTTCACAGTTCGTACCATGTTTTTCTCACTGCGTTTGTTTGTTTGTTTTTGTGTGTGCTTATTTATACAGAATGGTAGAATTAGTTCGATGGATTTTCATAGAGCATCCAGTTATCTTGTGACTGCTAGTGATGATGAATCCATTCGGCTGTATGATGTTACTGCTGGAACGTAAGCCCCCATTTTATTTATTGCTTTAAATATGTTTAATTATTTAAACAATTGACGAATACAATGTTTTATCTTCCTTAAATCTGTTGAATTTGCTGCATTCTTATAATTCTGCTCTCTTTTTTTCCTCCTCTTCTTTTTTTTCGCCAAAACGGTTTATGCCTCTAATATTATCGAAAAGATTATATCATGACTTGATGTGGTGAATTCTAGTACAAGATTAGGGTTCTTAACATTTCTAACATGACCCAGACCCAGATGTTATTTACAGTTTTATTCAACTACAAAATGTTCAATCATTTGCTACTAAATCGTTATGTAGATTGTTGAGTAAATTAGCACAACTAAGAAATTTATTATGTTGTTATTCATTTTGTTAAATTCTTTAAAATTAAAATTAAAATTAAAATTATTTTCATAGGATTACATTTTAAAATCTGATATTATGCATATGGTGCCTAGCTTTCTTTTCCTTCTAATTGATCTGTATTTATTCATCAACACAATTTTTTGGGATTTTTTAATTGTTACCAGATGTTTGAAGACAATTAACAGCAAGAAGTATGGGGTTGACCTGGTTTGCTTCACTTCTCATCCTACAACTGTCATCTACTCTTCTAAAAATGGTTGGGATGGTATGTTTGTTATCTGCTCCATCTTCAATGATCTTCATATGCTTGGTAGATTTTTGAATACTCATTACTAATATGATCATTTAATCCAGAATCTTTGCGGCTTCTATCGTTGCACGATAACAAGTACTTAAGATATTTCAAAGGCCATCATGACAGGTTTGGTATCTGGCATTATGTATACATTCCAATTTCAAATCATATGCTATAGTGCTCATGTACATTTTATTTTGTTATATGACAAAAAACTTATTTGTTCTTATCCTAGGGTTGTCTCGCTTAGCTTGTGCTCTCGGAAAGACTGCTTTATATCTGGATCACTAGATCGAACTGTTTTACTATGGGATCAAAGGGCCGACAAGTGCCAGGTAATGGCATTTGCATAAATTTTCTTGACTATTTCCATATTTTTGTGTCTAATACATCATATAACTTTTTTAGGGGATTCTTACTTACTTTAAAAACAAATAGGGACTTTTACGTGTACAAGGAAGGCCTGCTATATCATATGATGATCAAGGGCTTGTCTTTGCAGTTGCCTTTGGAGGATACATTAGAATGTTTGACGCTCGCAAGTATGAAAAGGTTCGCAAATTCCACATGAGAATGCCCATAAAACATAGCTTTATGGTTTGTCAATTTGTAATGTTAATTGTGACATACACTAATAATCTAAATGGTGAAATTTACTATACAGGGTCCCTTTGAGATATTTTCTGTTGGGGGAGATACTTCTGATGCAAATGTCGTGAAGTTTAGTAATGATGGAAGACTCATGCTTTTAACAACTGCAGATGGGCATATTCATGTTCTTGACTCATTTCGTGGCACACTTGTCTGTATCTTACCTACTCAACTCATTCACTTTAACTTCTTTTGGTTTATTTATATCTGCTTTGAAAGGCTTTCTATATGATTGTTCTCTTTAATAATGTGTATGTAGTTATCCACATATAATGTCACACCTGTCTCATCTAACTCCACATTAGAAGCTTCTTTCAGCCCCGAGGGAATGTTTGTAATATCAGGTAAGCATTTTCGGATCACCCAAAAATTTTCTGATTGTTTTTCACTTATTAACTCAACTGTTCATTGGTTTTGGCACATTGACCTTTCGCTTTTTGGATAGATGGCACGTTTAATGTTTATACCGTATTATTTTCTGCCTTGTGTTTTGGAATGAAGCTTTATAATCGAAAAGATGATTTTCAAAAACTTTTGCATCTTGCCATTTTGTTTTTTCTTTCAAATATTTTCAATCCCCTGGCCTACGTATGTAATCCTGTTGGTTGCTGCTTACTGCCTGTGCTGGTTTTTTATGCTAAACTTACATTTCTACACTTGGAAACTTTGACAGGCTCTGGACATGGCAGCATCTATGCATGGGGTGTTCGAAGTGGCAAAGAAGTATGATGAGCTGCATTCTTTCTTTTTCTGCATTTCATAACTAATTTATTTATAATCTTTATATTGTTACTTATATTGACACTTTTATGTGTCAACTTTTCAGGCATTTTTTTTTTCACTAGAAATTTTCTAAAATATCCTATCTTTTCATTGCAAATATCTTAAGTTATATACTGATGGAACTAGAATTGATAACATTGAATTTATTGAATCAATGGAGGCATAGCCTCTTTTTACAAACACTAATATAGGAACAAGACACCAAAACAAACTCACCCCTAGAACCAACTATCCTAGGCTCTAAGAGATTCTCAAATCCCCAATATTCACTCAATACATGCATACCTCACGACACACATTTCCCTCCCTTTTATCCTATTCCCTAAGAATATTCTAGAAGAAATTCCCTAATTAACTAACCCTCACTCTTAGATCTATCAATACTCCCCCTCCAAAACTCACCTTGTCCTCAAGGTGAAGAAAGAGGATAAATAATGTGAGAGATCTTCCACCAGGTCCCATGATTTGAAGTATCTTGACCACGTTGGCAGGTTTAATTCCATTTTCTTTCCATGAACCTCCATTCCTTCACCGTCATAGAACTGCTCTTCCCCTTTAAGCCCAAGTTCGTGGGTACCCACCAAGATGATGTGGAGGTGCTCATTTTGGCATATTTGGTCTCATGAAAAATGAGCATTGCTCTTGAAGCGTAAATTTCTGTGTCTCTTGTCATTAAACTCCTCCCGCAACATATACCCAAACCTCGATCCTCCCTTTACTCCAGCAGCGTTAGATTTTTTGTTGGCCAGCCTCACGCCTCCACTTCCTTGGCTCATCATTGCAGTATCGCTTCATTGGGTTTGTAAAGGCCCAACCTCACTAGTTTGGAACCAGTTTGTGTTGGACGAATTGGGCCCAAACCAACTGTCCCTTTTTGCGCTTCAATGTTAGAAACATTGGGCCTTGTTTTTTATTTTCTCTACAGATAGCCCTGTTTGGAAGTGCTGGACATGTATAATGCCCTTTCCTTGCAATAGACCCTTTTCCATCTCGCCCGTTTGTTGCTTCAACCCTACTGCTAACAGCCTCTCTTTCCTCATCATTTCCAACATTATCTGCTCCAAAATTTCGAGGCTGACGCTCCTTCGCATCAAACAAAACTTGTGACCCATTGTTGTCTTTTTCTTCTTGTTTATCTTCATCTTTGAATTCTTCTCGTGTTAATTCCCTAAAATGCAAGCCGCAACTTCCTCCATCGTTCACCCCATCGACAGTATCCCTCTAGCCGTCGCTTGGGTTCCCCCCTCATGCCCCCCCCTCCATCAACACGTTTACATCGCCGTTCTTCCACCCCTACATCCACTTTTTCTCTTGCAGCCGCTTCTTTTTCTTTTTCTTTTTCATTGGTTTCTTCTTCTGCTGCTTCAAACTCTCTTTTTTTCTTCGAATTTTTTTTCTGATTGCATATTGTGCTTCTCCATCTTTTCTATGGCCTCATATAAAGGCTTCACCATTTTTTTTTTCAAAATTTCCTTGAACTCTGAATTGTTGGTTCCTCCCATGGTTTTCACTCTCTCAAGGGTTTGGACCAGAAACATCTCTGGGATCGAAGATGCTTTGATATAGAATTGATAACACTGAATTTATTGAATAAGTGGAGGCATAGCCTCTTTTTACAGACACTAGTACAAGAACAAGACACCAAAAGACTCCGACTCACCGCTAGAACCAACTATCCTAGGCTCTAAGAGATTCCCAAATCCCCGATATTCACTCAATACATGCATACCTCACTTCACGCATTTCCTTCCCTTTTAATTTTATCCTATCCCCTAAGAATATTCTGGAAGAAATTCCCTAATTAACTAACTAACCCTCACTTTCAGACCCATCATATAGTAATAGGAACTTGAACCGAAAATAGTAGAAAACAGATCAAAAGAGTTAAACTTTTATTGAATATCACTCTTCTCCCTAAGTCTGAATCAATGTGATTTAAGAATCAAGTGGGAAGATGAAAAAGAATGAATACAAAGAATTAACTTTCCCAGCGCTAGGAAATTGAAGAGTTTTGGCTCTCCCTCCCAACCTCCTTTCCCGAAAACAATCTGTAGTACTTTCCTCCTATTATTTATATCCTGTTATTCTCTCTCTTTCTGACTAACTAAATAACTTTGGGGGTCTGCTGACAATTCTTCCCTGAATGTTGTTCTCTATGTGAAATTCAAGAAAATAGTTCTTCTGCAACCGCCTAACACCCTCTCTTTCCTCTGAACATTCCTCCATCAACCTCATGTGTTAGTGCTTGTTCTTGCATACTATAAGGCCCAACTTTGGAAAGTATACAAGAGAGGCAAACAAAGAAAGAAATGGGCTACTGAGTGGGCTACTGCAGGTGTCCAAGCCCAGCCAAAGACCCACGGTCCGAGTGGGGGTGGAAACACCACCTCACTCTAATTGCATGCAGAAGGGTTGAGAAGCCATGTCAGCCAGGGTGAGTCCCATTAAATGCAAAAGGGTGTCATTTGGTTAGGCATCTGGAAGATTGGGATTGGTTGGACTTGGTGGGAGAGCTCTGAACCTCTCTAACGTTCAGACCTGCATTTATTTTTAATCTTAATTACGCTGTCTCCGTCTACAGTGCCGAAGACTATTTTCTGTTTATACCCTTTCTTTTTGTTTCACTTTTCTACTGTTATTGTAATTACCCAGCATACTGGAATTTGAATCAGTGGCTCATACTACAGGTGACCTCATCTCCTTTTTATCTCTCTTGGTTGATTCACAAACGTATCACATACATGATCTGGATTGTATTTCTCATCACACTTAAAAAACAACCCCTTCTTGATTTTATCCGTAAATTCTGCATTCGAAAGGCTTTTGAACCCCTGGTTCTGGGCTTGTAAAAGAAACATTGAACTGGCTGGTTACAATGTCCATCACTGCGCCTCATCCTTCTTGGTTAGTTCGTGCAGGTAGCCTAGACCCAACTTCATATGTAGCCGCTTTTGAAGATGGGTAACTCCTAGATGCCGCCTCACCATTACTGTTTGAGCAATCCCCTCCTTTGTTTAATACCCAATTGTTCTCATGGATCGGTTGAGCATAATTCATCATTTTCGATAAAGATTCTACCACGTGCAACTTCAATTTGGCCTTGATTTTTTCCTTTAGCCCATTCAAGAAAATACCTCTAGGGTATTTTGGATTGTGCCATGCATGGGGCCATGCAAAGGACGCACAAAGAGCTCAAATTGCTCTGTAATCACAGTTGATTAGTTAGGAGCCAATACCATTGTTAATGTTTTTCTTAAAATTAGTTTCATTCTGTCTATCTTTTTCTCCTTCTGAATCTGTTTGATTACCCAGAAAATAACACGAGCAGTTTAATGTTCCGAAACCTGTTAAACTGAAGCATAGTTTTTCCAACCAGACCAATCATTTATACGGAAACTTAATGCCTGAAAAAAATATTGTGTGCGCAAGTTTGGCATCGAAAGCCTGTTTGGTTAACATTTGTACAACTCTTTTCACTTTGTGGAATGTAAATGTGAATTGTACTTGCTATTCAAATGTTAATGCTTATTTCCCCTGTCTAGGTTGCTAGTTGGAGGAGTGCAACTTCTGATACTGGACCTCCTGTCATAAAGTGGGCTCCTGGAAGTCTTATGTTTGCTACTGGATCTTCTGAGTTGTCATTTTGGATTCCTGATTTGTCAAAATTGGGAGCTTATGTTGGAAGAAAGTAGAAACTCTAAAGGTAATTTATTAATATTATTGACAAACTTGCCGTGTGATGTAAATATTCTTATCCAAAGGGCAAAGATATTTCAGTGAGCCTCCTCCTAAAATTGTACGATTTCTGAGATATCTAAATGGGTACTTATGTTCTTTCCGCCGACACACTGATTGTAGATGTTCGTTTGACTATGTTAGGACCCATCCCACATTGGTTGTATGGGCAACAACATAGTTATCAAATGCGGATTGCGGCATGTCGCGGCCAACCCCGAAAAACGCTATAGCATTATAGCGGGTTGCGGTTGCGGAAATAGCAGAATAGATGTATGACAGAAATAATGACAAAAATAAACATTTTTTAAAGGAAGAGATAGCATAAGTGACAGAGACAGACGCAGATAGACTAAAAAACCCTTAAATTTTATCTGTTACACATTTAAATTTACAAAATTGACATTTTTTCTTATGATAGCAATATGGCCGCAAATGCGATCGCAATGGCCGCTATTGCGTTCCGGTGTGGTGCGGCACGATTTCTTGCGGCGAGGCACTGCAACGCTCATACGGCGTAGCTCGCGACGCTATTGCGGCACAATTAACTACTATGGGCAACAAATGTATAAGGCTTTGAGCACTCCCACTCTTTGAGCTAGCTTTTGGGGTGGTGCATCTTAAGGTTTTTGTCAAATGGTATTAGAACCTTCCACTATGTCTTCCAGTTGCGGGGCATGGTGGAATGTTAGGACCTATTTACAAGGTATGGGATTTGGAGTCCCACATTGGTTGTATGGGTAACAAATATGGGGTTTATAAAGTCTTGAGCACTCTCATCCTTTGAGCAAGCTTTTGAGGTGGTGCATCCTAAAGTTCTTTATCAGACTATAATTTCTTAACTATGTCTGCCGGATCATTACGTGCAACACCAAAGGAAATAGTATGCACTTCGGATCATAAAATTTAAGCATCCTATGGTCCATTTTTTGCCATTATTTATCAACCATCAAACATTCATAAGTTGTGTCTTCTATAGGTTTTGACACTGCATCTCATCTGTGCCTGTGTTAATCATGATTTTGGCTGCCTTTTGAAAAGTTTGTAGGAGCTTATGACAAAAAATTGTCCTTGTAATGACTGATGTGCAGTATTGTTAGGATCTGATGCTTATGAAATGAATCTAGGTTTTACATATGGGCATATTCTTGGAGTTATGGAGTCAACCACTTAAGTCTTTTCTTTGCTGAAATTGGCGCAGGAGTCCTTGCATGGAATTCTTCTGTATGCCTGTATTAGCTATCTCATGTTGATTGTGACTCCGTATATGATGCTTTTGAATTTGTAAAATATTTTGGCCAATTTTGAGGGGGCATCATCGGAAAATTTGTGATTGCAGAACAGTAGGGGGTTCTCTTTTGCTTTCCTCTGCTGCCAGTACACGTAAATGGGGTTTCTTGTGTTACGCAGAGATGTAGAGAATGGTGGGATGGGGATGCTCTCTCTCTCTCTCTCTCGTTCGGTTACCTACATTCTTTCATAAGGAAAATTAAATAACCTTGCTTGACTATGCAAGGGATGTGGATGCACTGTGTTGCCCTTCTGTTAAATCTTTCCTCCTGGTGATCCCTTTTGGACGAGGTCAAATCTGAAGCGAACTAGCATGTATAGGGTATAGCTGTAACCAATCATAGGACTACCACACACAATTTAGTTGAAAAAGTGGTGCATGTGCCTTCAGGCTACAAAGCTTAAAAGATGTTGTATTAGTAACCAAAAGAGAAGCATTGTTTATGGTTTTCTTGGATATATGGATTCCCTCAACGCTACCGTGACTGAACTGGTACCTCAAACGACATGGGTCGTCTTGAATAACAAAACTCTGAAATTGTGTCAACCGAACAAAGGTAAGCGACTACCCAACCCTCAGAAATGGGAACTTTATTATGTACGTTCAATTATAAAGTTCATGAAGCAACATTATTGCGCCCAGAAAGTGAATTCAGCGCGTGGTTTTTGAAATGTGGGGTTCGCAATTTTTGTGCACTGATGATACTCGTCAACTTAAGCGCTTGTTACATACCATGCCAATATAGTTTTGGTGTTCTATCGTGAAAAAGTAAATTCTGAAAAGGAATAAAATCTAATAGGTCAGTAATTTAATTTTTTAATTAAAAAATTAGTAAATTAACTATTAATTATCTACTACTTATTCTTTTAATATATGATTTTTATTTCTTCAATTGAGAATTAGCATCATTTACTTTCAGTTAGACAAATAAATGTTTCTTATCTTTGGATTTTGGGAATACTTGTTGGGGATTTTTTCTTATGTTGTATAAGAAAACATAATTTTCTTATACACAAATTTTATGTGGAATTTACTTATTTTTTTTTCTTCCCTATTCTCTCTCCTCTCTTTTTCTCTTGTGAGTGCAGGAAGATTATTATTTTTTATGTAAAATAAGAAAAACAATCCCCATACTTGTTAAGGATTAAAAATTTAAAAACAATAAATAAAAATGAAATGTATAAATATTTTTTATATTTAGTATTTTTTTATATTTTGATTCTTTAAGCAGTCAGTATAAACCTTTACCGTTTTATAGTTAACTCAAATAACAATTTTTCTTTTGGTAATTAATAATCTCATTAATTAAATAGAGAAAAATTTCTTATTCCTAATGAATATCAATCAATTTTTTTTCTTTCATTACTATATTCAAAGGATAATAATCGATGATATCGCTCAAATCTTGCATTTATCTGTTCAACGATGGTAGTATCCCTGTCCTTTTTTCTTTCTTTCTTTTCTTCATTCCATGGCTACCCATTTGAGCTTCCTCTCTCTCTCTCTCTCTTTGTTAATTTAAACTTGATATGCTGCAAAACGTGATGAGCCTATGTTCTGATTTTACTAGTTAGGAGATTAGTTGATCATTATCACTTCAGTTTTTTCACACTCTTGCTTAATTGAGAGTTGAAATCTCTTGCAAATATATTATCTTCTACAAAGTAGTTACCAGCAACATTTGTGAAGTCCCAAAATGCATCCCAGTCAAGGGCAACCATCACCAACTCCTCTTTCAACCCCATATCTCAAAAGTCCAATCAACATATCCTTCATTAGCAACATAAACGTGAAAGCCCTCTAAAACCAAAGAGTTTTCTCTAAAATTTATAAGGTCCACTCCACAACAACCACAAAAAAGACTTATTCACAGATAGCTCCTATTTCCACCGCACACCTGACGTAAACCTCCAAATTAGAAAGCAATAAACTTTCACCGCAACACTTATTATCAATCACACAACTATTATAATTTACTCAATTAGAACCATTACATCAATTATGTAAATTGAATAAAAGATATCATTTGAATAACAATCAGGAAACCAATGAATACTTTGTGAAACCTTGTAAGGTGACGGGTCTAAATTTTATCCCCATCACCAGCGTTCCTTACTTAGGAAATGTTCCTTGTTCCTGTCACTTTACTGAATTTTGAGTTTAAAATAAGAAAAATGCAATTAAGTGGACGATTAGGGAGAGAGAGAGAGAGAGAGATGTGCAGAATATTTTCTCCGAAAGACAACTACCACTCTTGCAATCATGATAGAAAATCAAAGAAGTGGAGAATCAAGCAAAGGGAGTGGAGGACCGTTACAAGAGCGAGAGCGAGAGAGGGCTGAGACAGCTGGACCAATTATAGCCGACGGATAAGAAGCAAAAGGAGAAAAGAATAGAACTCCGAAAAAAAGAGAGAGAAGTGCTCGTGCGGTTTTGCTATAAAAGAAAAAAGAGAGAGAAGTGCTCGTGCGGTTTTCTCTCAAAGAAAATTCATCACCATCACCATCAACATCCTCCTTTTTCTATCTCCCCACTCCACCATCGTTCTCATCCAATTTCTTAGTTTTCTCCATTCGTTCTCTAGTAACCTCTTTTCATTTTCCATTTTCTTTTTATTGTTTTCTTGTACTAGGCTTCGGTAATTTGTAATGGAAATTTTGGTTTTTGGAGTTTTTATGTTGTTTTTGGCCATGCTATTCAGCATGAGCTAAATTTGTTCAGGAATAGGGAATCTGTAGTACCCATTTGTTTAGCTTGAAACTGTAACTCGTCTTATTTAATGGAATTATGTTGTTTTGTGTAATTACTTCATCTATTTTTTTATGGAAATCAAGATAGCTTAAGGAATTGACTTCCGAAAAGAAGCAGTTATGGACTGCAGAAAAGGAGTTGGGGATGAAGTTGTTGTTGTTGCAACCTTCATCTGTTCCTTTAGGAATAAGGAACAACCAAAGTTCTTGAATTGGTTTTGTGCAAGACAATTTGGGAATGGAATTGCAACGGAACGCGTGATTTTGTATACCATTAAACCCAAGAGCTTGAGAAATCAACATTGGCAATGAAAAGTGACTTGAGCAATTTCATTGAATAAGGCATTGAGCCAAAGTTAAAGCTATTTGACGGGGAAACAGTGAACCCGTTCCTGCTTTATTTTCCAGTGTTCCTTTGTTTTACTATTACTTGTTATTGTTTTCCAGTGACATTCCTAATACATAAAGAACAGAAAAATCCAAAAGAAACACATTGTACTTCCAGTTACATTTAGGTTACTGCATTTCACAATTCATTCTTAACTATTCATTTCTATGATACGTTGTTCCTTCCGAGAAAGGAAGAACTAGTGTGAATAACAACGTGAGGAACTTGAATGGATCGATATAATCCTCAATCATATACTGAACAGATATATGTTGTTCAAGAGGAACAAATGAACCTTAAGAGATTCCATTCTTTTCTAACATTTCTAATAACGTTCTTGTTTACTGTTTACTATTCAAGCTCAATTGCAATTTATTTAATTTAAAATTCAGCGATACTTTCTCCGTGGGAATAATAATCCAGGACATAACACTTTCATTCATTACATGGATGCATGCCCTTGCGCTCGTGCAATCATCTAGAGATTTTTCCTAGGTGATCCGCGTGCAAACATATGGAGGCAAGGGGTAGCTAGAGAGATCAAAACTTCAGTAATTAGACTTGGAAGTCACAGAACAATCAAAGATTTTAGAGACAACACCAGCAACAAAATAATCAAGGGAGTGGTTCGTCTTATGAGCAAAAATAGATAAAGGCAGGCCAAACCTTCATATCCAACAAGAGAGGAAGAACACATCAATTCGTTGGAAAGCTACATGAAAGATTTTATGAACAGAAATAATGCAGTAATAAAAAATATTGAGACATAACTAGGCAAAATTCCTGCTTCTTTAAGAACAACACAACTAGGAACGCTCCCTGAGGACATTTAAGTGCCTAGTAACGTAGGAAACGAACAAGTATAAGCCATAACCCTAAGGAATGGACGAGAAGTAGAACAACCAAAGGCAGCGGTCAGGCATCACAGAAAGAAAATCTTGATGAATCCTAGCAGTACTTATGCCATGGAAGATGGAAGGAATGATGCATATGCACCAAATCTTCATGGGTCAGGTGAAACGAGTGAGAGGCAGAACAAATCAGAAACTACAAGTAATTCAGAACCGATTACTGATGATTGTGGTGAATAAAATAAGGATTATGGTGAACTAGGGAGATATGAGAAGTAACGGGAGCCATTGTCAATGTCTACTGTTGAGCAGGAACGCTCAAAAGCTACCATTTCTTTCAAATAGAAGAACCAGAAACGGCCAACCTCCTCATCGTATGTGGTACCCCCATGTCGATCAGACAAGATCTTTGCAGTTCCTTTTCCACAAAAGACGAGGAAGCAGCAGAAGGACAAACAATTGAGTAAATTTTTAGAGCTCCTCAAACAATTGCACATCAACATCACTTTAGTGGATGCCTTAGAGCAGATGCCAACATATTCATGAAGGATGTACTATCAAAGAAATGCAGGATGGAAGAATACGAGACTGTAGCACTTACACAGGAAAACAGTAATTTCTTGAACAGATTGGCCCCAAGAATTAAAGGGTCCTGCTAGTTTCACCATTCCCTGCATAATTGGGAACAACTATCAAGGGAGATATAACAACCCATACTATCAACTTAGGTAAATAAGAAGGTATATGTTCAAGGAATTTATGATAAGTAATGACAAGTTAATCATGGAATTAACATGACAATACGAGTAAGGATACAATTCATGCCAAATAAATTAATTAGGACTCATATGCAATTATTTTAAAAGATTGTGGGTCGAAGAATAAATATAGTAAAGTTTAGGAACCATTTTACAAATAGACAAAACTTGGCCTAAACTTGATTTTAATGTGATAATTAAATTGTTTAGAGAATTTTGTGGATTCAAAATGATGTTAGTTTGATTTAATTATGATTAGAAAAATTGATTAAATTAGGTCAAAGTTCATAAAATATCAACCAATAGGATTTGTTTTAATTCAAAGTCAAAAGTTTTTAAGTTTAAGACCATTCTTTCTTCATTAAGTCGGTTTCCAATTTCTTTCTTCTTCATTGTGGACCTGCTCCAAAACAGAACAGCCATGGAAGACCTTGTCAAGCTTAGATAACCATGTTTTAGGTATTAAAAGACCAAGCTTATTTGACAAAAAATGATCCTAGAAGCCTAGAGAACAAAACCTAATCTTTAGTATCTCCTAAGAAGCATTGGTGTGGAAGATTTCTCCTCCTATGTGCAGCAAGCAACCATGATGCAGCCATAGGCTTCCTAAGCCCATGACAACACCACTTCACGTCCAAAACATCATTCAATCATTACTTAACCTCATTTTCTTTAATTTCCTCTTTTAGGCCTAAATCCACACCTAGCTACATATCCAATGATTTTGCTTCCAATTCACATGCATTACACAATTACACAACCTATTTAAACTTGGTTCAAACGATCACAACACCAATTATATGAATTTTGTAACATTCCAAGCGCTGACGAGGGCGGGGAGTGATCTTCCAATTCACATGCATTACACAATTACACAACCTATTTAAACTTGGTTCAAACCATCACAACACCAATTATATGAATTTTGTAACATCCCAAGCGCTGACGAGGGCGGGGA